ATGCCCCTGATACAGAAGTACAAAATAAAACGTACATTTAGCTGTTTATTTAATTATTCTGATTTGAATTTCTAAATTAATTCATTTACTATTTAAAGATCTAAATACGACGACCTCGGTGGTCTAGCGGTCTAGCACACCGCTTCATGACCGATGGTCGCGGGTTCGATTCCTCGCACGGCACAAACATTTGTATCCATGAGTATGATTGTTTGTATCGGTCTGGGTGTTTTCTATGTATAGTATGTATGTATTTACAAAAAAATCAGGTATCTTAACACAAGCTTTAACTAGCTTAACTTGGGTCTAGATGGCGCTGTGTGAATTGTCCTGAGATTATTATTATTATTAAATTAATTCATTTGAATTTTTCAATTTATTTCAATTTTCCTTTATTACGAAACCTAACCTAACCTAACCTTTAAAGTATATATTGACGTAAATATCATATATATTTCCTTATAAACGTGTCTATTATGTCAACCATGTACATATTAGTAAAACCATAAAAGGTAAATATATAGTTACCTGTATATGGATATATCGTTGGATATACATAATTTGTCATTACAGTGTATCATGTTTGAACTCGCGTTACACACATACTCAGACCAGCTGAGGCTGACTTTTGAATATGATATGATTCCTGTTTCAATCTATACAAATAAAATTGAGATGTCTGTTTGTAATGTCAAATTAATAGTTTTTGACTAAATGCATCTAAAAATATAACGGTACTTACTTTAAAAAAAATGTCTGTCTGTCTGGTTGTTCTTGCTCTGAAACGGCTGGACAGATTTTAGTGGGACCGTCACTCGCAGATAGCTAATGTTATAAGGAGTAACTTAGATTCTTTTATTTTAGAAATTTTATTAGTTTAATAAAAAAAAATTGTGGGTTTGTTTGCGATGAGACCACTAGTCCTCATTATTTAGAGTCCCCTCCCCCACCGGCACTAACTTGCTAGCTAATCAATACATCCGGTGTATTGAAATGATGCTAAATGGAGTGAATAAGTACTAAGTTATGGTTGTGTTTGCACGCTCTTATCAGATAATAACTTTAGTTTCCTATAACTCCGATATCTGAACCGTTAAGTAACGCGGCCATCTTAGCTGTAAAATTGTGCTTAAATATCCTGTAGATAAGTTTTAAAGATGTATGACGTCAGCTATGTTTTTTAAATTGGTAACAATGGATTGATACACAAGTCGTACCCCAGTGGAGGATGATAAGATAAGTTTGAAATCAAGTCAGTTAGTCCATCATGGCAAATTCATCAGGAATTTATCACGATAATTTTCAGAAGGACCCGCGTGGAGGTAAACCTGACATGGTACATTGCTAGCACAGGGTTCATTAGTCCCGTTACTAACAATCCCTTACTTTCCCTGCCCACTTCAACTATATGTAGGTGCCAACGCTATGCTTTATTAATGGTGTTATATCATCTATGTCTTGACTAATAAGTACAATATGTTTTACTATTAGTCAAGACTAAAGACTAACTATTTGGGTACATTTGTCTATCTATTTCAGTCAAGCAGCTGGCTTTCTTGCTTGTTTCGGTCGATAGGTGAAATATTCCAGTGAATTATAAGATAAGTGGCATGACATGAATTACAAGATAAGTGGAATGTATGACCAAAGTGATGTTCGAAGTTCATGGATTTAGACGACGTTTATCACTAACTTCTTTACTACCACTTACCATTTAGTTCAGACGAGTCATCAAATTGTTTGTCATTTAATTTAGGTAATTAAAAAATAATCTTCATCCTTTTTAACCCTATTTTGGTGAATGTATTTTAATACCGATTACACGCGTGTTGGTCCAAATTATTTTTGAGATACTAATCGGTTTTCTTGTGAGACAATATTACAATATGGCTGTGATATTTTGTACCTATGCGTGTAGAATAAAGATAAAAATATTTTTTAAAGATACTGATGGATGTAATCTTTTTAAATTTATTGTTTTTTCCCTTGAACAAAAGATCAGCGTTATCTCTTCAGTATGATATCGAACATCGATTAATGTCAGGGAGATAGATAATAGCGAAGTTTGTACCTATGAGATTTATTTGTCTGTAATATTTAATTTGGTACTTACAACCCAGTGGACAAACAACTTCATTACTATCCTCGCTCAAAAAAACAAGTGTTTACTGAAATCTGGCGAGCAGACAGTCCTCTTTGTCGGGGCTGCTGTGAAGCCAAAGAAACGGCCGGTCACGTAATCCTGGAGTGCGTAGCAGTGGCCACACAACGCACACAAATCCTCGGAACGGTGAGGTCCCTCCGTGAGGCCTGTGAAGACACCAGGAGGCTTCTGCGTTTCTGGGAGGAACATAGCTGGCTACTTTAGGAGTTCTAGCTCTACACGCATAACGGATCTAATGAGAGGGGGGTATATGTGGAAAACAGGGTCCAACATACAATATAATATAATCAATACAATACAATGCAATATAATTAATCATCATCATCATCATCTGCACAGGAAGAACCTTATCCCATTTATTTAGGGTCGGCGTAATATGTTTTTCGCTTCCATTCATCCCTGTTCGCAATATAATTAATACAATACAATATTTAATTTTAGCTTTTTTTAGTTTAACTGGAAGTTAATCAAATCAAGATATCTTATATTTCTGCAGTTTATTCGAAATGTAGGTACTTAGTACCTAATTTAAATTAAAAAAGAAAGGAAGAGTTGCTTGTTGCTTCAAGCTAGATAACAGTAAAATAGAGTCTACTCTTTTCAATTCATATTGTTCTTATCCTGCTTATAATAATAATAATAATAATAACGCAGGACAATTCCCACAGCGCAATTTATTCCCAAGCCAGCATGTGTTATGGGTACTAGCATACTATAGCATAGCAACCGATAAATACTTAAATACATTGTCTTTTGTAAATGCATACATAATATATCTATATGGAAAACATCCAGACCGATACGAACAATCAAACTCCTGAATGTAATCGAACCCATAACCATTGTAGTCGAAGTAAGACGAAATGCTAAACCGACCGAAATTTAACAAAAGTTGTCTAAGTAAAGATGTTAATTCAGCTTCCGCCTTCGCTAACGATGATAAAATCAACATGAGGTCAGGTCAGTTAGCCCATCTAGGCAAATGGTAATTTACCACCATGGTTTCCAGGGGGAACCGCGTGGATGTCAACTTGACAATGGTATATTGCTAGCATTGCGTTTATTGACGACCTCGGTGGTCTAGCGGTCAAGCACACCGCTTTACGACCGATGGTCGCGGGTTCGATTCCTCGCACGGCACAAACATTTGTATTCATGAGTATGATTGTTTGTATCGGTCTGGGTATTTTCTATGTATAATATGTATGTATTTACAAAAAAAAAATATCTATGTATATGTATCAGTTATCTAGTACCCATAACACAAGCTCTAGCTAGCTTAACTTGGGTCTAGATGGCTCTGTGTGAATTGTCCTGAGATTATTTATTTATTAATCCACATCACTAATAATCTCATTCCACCATCTAAAAACAGATGAAATAAGTAAAAATTAAGTGACCACGTGTTGGAGTATGGGAGGGCGACTTATTTGCTATGCGTTTGACCGATTGTAAAAGGTCAAGATGAGATGTGTCGATGATTGGGTACGCTGATAAAACTGATACTTACATCCCGTAAGGAAGTTACATTCGAAGTATTATTTAACACAATATCTATTGCCTTGCTTTTTAAAAATAGAATATTGTACTATAATATAATTTAAAAGCTATTTGAGGATATTTGATTAGAAGTAGGTATTTTAGTATTTCTAACCACTTCACTAAAAGTAGTTGGGAAAAAGGAGATTGTTAGCAATGGTGATTAGTGTCCCATGACAAGGGTAGCATAGCAATATTCCAGCATAGACTATACCATGAGACCAAAAAACAACAAAACACCATTTAAACATTGGTTAATTTCTAATGAATTTGTCACATTGTGCTAACTTACCTGACTTCATGCACATCTTAACATTGTTAGAGCAAGCACGTACATTCCATGATCATCCAATAAAATACTATAATTAATTAATTATACTAATTAGTAAACAATATTTATGTTATTATTCTATTAGTTCCGATTGCAACTCGCAATAGTACTACTATACTATACTATACTATACATATATAGTACTAGCTGACCCGGCAAACGTTTTGCCATATAAATTAATATCGCTATTAAAAAATAGGGGTTGGTAATAGAAGGGTGAAAATTTAGAGTTGTATGTATTTTTTAATGACACATAAAACAAATTAAAAAAGTTGTCGAAAAAATTAAAAAAAAATTGGGGTGAACTACCCTTAACACTTAGGGTATAAAAATTAGTTATAAACCTATTCTCAGACCTACTGAATATAGATACATATAAAATTTCATCAAAATCGGTCAAGCCGTTTGGAGGAGTATAAACACGAAACCTGTGACACGAGAATTTTATATATTAGATAATTTATTTTTATATTCTTTATTACTATATAGATATTGATATGTCTGTTGTTATATAGAATGCTTAGGTACATATCTGCAACATTAATATTATTTAAAGTATATATATTAATTTAGTTAATAACATAAAAAAATATATATAATTTTCTGATTAAACAGAAATCATATTTTATAATGGCAGTTTACATACAACAGTGTGTAGCGACTTGCCACCATTTGATTGTGTTAATCAGAGATAACGCGCGCCAAATGGACTCGATATTCGATAAACGGAACCATCCGTTAGGGCATCTCCACATTATCCTGTCGCCTCTCAAATGATCCACCTGAATCGCCACCGTTGGACAATCTGTAGCGCAACGAACAAATCTATCCGTCCCGCTCACTCGCGTCCCGTACGAGATGCGCCCTCCTTCTCCGCGCGCGCCGCCGTCCGACCAATAGCGGCCATCTTCTCCCCCGAGAGCAAGCGACAGTGCGTACTCTCAATAAGCACAAAGAGAAGCGATCTCGTCGCGTGAGGTTGTCGCACGAGATGCGGATCCGACGCAACCCGCAACCGTCAATAGTGCCTTTAAACTTTTAAGTGATATAAGACTGCAAATCTGTGCTCAAATAATTATAGTGTTTTGTGAAAGACTGGAACTGTGGTTGGACATTTTTAAATTTCGAACAACGGCAGATATCACTAAAATTATTCACGATTGGGTAAGTGCAATTTCGATTAGATTAACGGTGGAAATTATCGATATGTTAGCGATCGGTCATTGTCTTTAAGCGGGGTCCCTTAGACACGTCTTAGTCGAATCTAGTTGGTCGAACAGCAAAATATTACATTTGTAGTTCGTATATTGACCCTTGCCGTGTCCGCGCGGTAGGTATTTTGCGTAAAAATATTTTAGTGACGTATTTTTTTTTTTAATTCCATCAGCATTTCATATTTCTGTTCTTTTTGTATTTTTTTTTTCGTAAAGCTAATATATAAATTTTAATAATGGTTGCGGCTCAGAAATTTTCTAATAAGAACTGTATTCGTAAAATATAAATCTTATATGAATTTAATTTCTATTACAAATAATGTAAAGTACCTACCTATATATTTTACCAATTTAGAAGTAAAATTGTTTAATTATTTGCGTGTAAAAGAATTTATATTTCAAAATAACATATATTTTGTACCGTAAAATATATCGTATGACATTATCATTTTTTACCTAAAGTAATTTTAAAATAATCATAATTATAAATATTAAATGTGTAAAAATATAAATTATATTTTATATTAAAATAATTTATTTTATATGATTATAAAATTATTTTTGCATACGATAACTTTAGTTATTTAAATAAGAAATATAGATGTAAACAGTTCTTGTAAGTACATGAATATGTTTTAAATATATAAATCGCTATACATATTTCGCTGACCTCTATAAAATTAATCTAATCAACGTAACTATTAAAATTTGATATTTCACTTATTTTTAAACTTAGACGCTTAAAAAAAGTAACTAACAAAACTGTTTTTATAAAGTGCTTTAAAATGTTTTACTTTTTTAAAATTGTGTAGGTACTATCTGCCTATTATTTTTTTCTGTGAAAATGTGGAATTAGGGTCCCTATTAAGTGGGCTGTAAGATTGTTTGCTATTTTAATTACCTGAAGTGAGAATGTCTTCTTCACGATAAAAAAAAGATAAAAAATTGGCCTATCAATATAATCTTAATAGATTTTAAGTCCGTCCCGTCCGAGAGAACGTGATGGGGTATGGGAGATTCGTTCTCACTAAAAACTCCATGGTGTCCCTCGGTACTCCAAGGCAGCAAGCCACAGGAAATACCTACATTCGTATTCTACACCGACTGCTGTAAAGACGGCCCGATCCTCATTTGTTAAACTTAAAAACGCTAAAACATTAATATTTCAGTATCTACAAGAAAAAAACCAAGGAGATCACTTTATATCATGCACAAAAATTCATGAGTTGCCATTCCAGAAGACTCAGATGTCATAACCTGTCATATCACTACCGTATCTCAACCTTCTAACGAAACAGCTCACAAAGCAAACTGCTTGGCGGCTGAAGTACCTACGTAAGACAGTGATACCCTTTTAAACGTGTTTGTAGAAATTCTACCTACTCTACTAAGTATATCCTTAAAATATGGCTACATAATGCAACGTTAATGATAAAAATTAACTAATTGATTGTACCTATATATCTTAAAAGAGAATTGGAAAAAGAAAGTCATAAAAAATAAAACAGAGCTTGTGTTATGAGTACTAGAGAAATTATAGTAAAAATACTTATATCTGTAGTATTTTTTACTTAAATACCTACACCATATAGACACAGGCTAATAAAAACAATCAGAAACTCTTGTGATATTAATATAATTAAAGTTTATTTTTTATCTTCTCTAATCAAAAACTATAAAACAAAATTCTATTATGTCACCACACTGTCTGTCTCTACAACTACCTTTAAAATATTTATCCCATTATTAATTTATTTACATATTTATACAACAGATACTCATGAATATCTATATTTACATTATGCGAGGAATCAAACCCGCGATCATAAGAATTATGTGCGGTGCACAGTGGGAACTCGCCTAAGAAAGCCATCTCATAAATACTTTTTCTAAAACTCCGTGTATATGCTTGTATAATACCTCAAATTGTAGCCAAAGAGTTACTCTATCATTATAAATATGATTAAAATCTCTGACTATTCATACTTCATAGAATAGAGCCTCTAAAGTCAAGGAATGAAAAAAATACAAAAATAATTATGTAACTTAAATTTGTTTGGTACAAGTTTATAGTATCAAAACAATATCAAGTGATATAGTGATACCATTTTAGAATGCTTAGAATGTGTACTTTACTATAAAATAAAAATATATTTAGTTTAGTCGAATATTATTTAACTAAAAATCCATATATCGTTACATGTACTATTTTCTTTTCTCAGACTTTCACTTGGAGATTTGACAGTTGCCGAAGCTTGCCGAAGTTCTAAATTTGGTTTTATTTATTAGGAAATATAATGTAATTTGATGGCATAACATTTTTTTGTGCAGTTTCACTGCGTAAAATATTTAAATCGAGTATAATATCATGGTGAGATTTGTTTTTTCTAAGAACGTATATTAAGATTTTCTTCTTTATTTGAGATTCTCTGTCTGAATATTCAAAAAAATACTTTTTGCTCAATTATTACTTTATATTTTATCTTTTGCCTTACTTTTATCAACTATTTCACACAGTATATAGTTCCCATTCCCATACAGACCTATTCTATACCGCATAATGATAAATATTTTTTATCAAGTAATTTTGCACACGTATATGATCATTATTAAGTATAAAATAGTGTATGTATTTGCATATGAAATATTACAGTTCTTTATAAGCATTTGTTATTACTAAACAATTGTTAATTACTCATCTCGCCCCAATGAGTGAATTCTCGTGTACCAGACGCGACTTAAGTGTCTTATTGATTTAAAGTGATACAAATTATGTTGATTCTATATCAAACTACGAAATAATTTTACCGAATCTTCAGATGCGAATATATTATCGCAAGTATTCAGAAGTCCTTCATAACTCAGTTTCGTCAACGCTATACGAAATGTGGTAGAAAGAAAGAACGTTTTTAAATAAAATAGCAATTGATAGGATGGTATTTTCACTGTAAATCTAGAAAAAACTACATGCGAACCTGAACCTCCTACTTAGACAGAGAAAAGAGGAAGACCTTCTAAAACGTACGAAGACAGTTCGGATAAAGAAAGGGAAAAACAAGGCTTGCTTGATAACTTTATACTGAATCATATGAGTCAATGGTGAAACCCTTAAACCCTGTACATATGTACAGGGTTTAAGAGTTTTATCATTGATATTTTACGAGCATTGCCGACAGAAAACTAGATGAATTGAGCAATCTTAATGAATAATCTAATGAACCGGCACATATAACAGCGTATTCAAAACATTAAGCTCTTCGCATTTTCATAAAATTGGATCTGAACAAGGCACAGTACGAAAATATGAGGAGTTGTTTGATAGTAAAGAATTACTTATTGTTTCCATCATATTGATTCGTGAAGCTTCGTGCTATCCGCCAAAATTATGTATAGAAATTACTAACGTTAAACCAGAAATCAAATGTATGTACCATTTGCAGTGCAAAACCCACAGAGATGAACAATTTAGAAAAAGTACAAAATAAACCTGTCGATGAAACTTCCTATCAATATGGCCTTTCAACTTTGCATTCGTGGAACTTATTTTACATTTATCTTACAAACAAAATACAAATCAATAAAAATGATCTGCCACAACAACAGAAAATAAAAATTTAAAAAAGCAAAAGAAGGCTTATGTACAAAGAAGGTTCAGAGAAGAACTTGGATTAAATATAGATAAGCCGAAGCAAGTTAGTGGCAACACTAATGACGGCAATACAGCCACAAGATTTTTCCAAAATTATCATTGCACATCAGAAATTACTAGTATATATGAGGAATTAATAAAAATGCTTTATGTTAAAATGAAATGTGAACGAGTGATACGTTACTTTTCTGTCTTGCCTTTTGGGCAACTTTCAGAAGATGCTCATCACGGAAAAAAGACTATAAACAGTTCAGGCTTCATCATGCAAGACAATGTTCGAGGGTAGCCTCTAACAAAGATGTTCTACACGCATTTTTATGTACCTCTGACCCATACATAACAAGTTTAAGAAAACCTTCCAATTAAAAATATTTAGTACTTTTTGATGAAGAAAAGGAGCTCTTGAGTGACTTGTAAGCTATCTTTATAAGAATTTTGGTTTTTTACGCTGATACTTTTACTTATTTCTGTATAAACTTCTTAGGACATAAATGTAAGTCTACAAATTCTATATTTCTTGTATTCCTAAATTATTTATAACTATTAGAAACATTTTTTTACTCACAAAGCATACATTATTTAAAAGTATATATATTTAAGATTATCAGGAAAAAAAATCATGTACATATCTTTATTAATACAGAAGTTATAGATTTATGAGACGAAAATGAGTTTCCCACTGTGCGGTGTGCAAAACCGCTAGACAACCGAGGCCGTCAAATAACTATGATGAAATGAATTCCTAGTCAAGACTTAATATTTAACAATTAAATCTAATAAGATCATAATGAGAATCGTTTAAGTATAATACCTACTTATACGTATAGATGAGTATGCAAGTACTGGGTGTTTAATTAATATTTTGTAATATTACAACTGACCATTATTAATCACGCTCTAGATAACATTACATTACAATATCTACCAGCATTTATAAAATAAAATCCCAGTTTTATTACGTTTTTATATGTTATCTGTGTTATATTTTGAAAAAAGAATATCATAAGTAGATAAACAAAAATTATATAAGTAGATTATTTTTACGAGCGTGGATAGGTAGTTATAAATAACTTAGTATAATTTAGTATCTAATATTTAATTTAATATTAATAGCATGCTTTATTTAGAAAATTACAATAATAGGTACTAATTAAGATAATTTATTTACCTCAAATTATCTATATCAATATTTATTATTGACAATTTTTAAAACAAAAATTTGTATCGTCTTTTTTTTAGTATTATTCTTTTGCTTGAAACTTCGTCTAGGAAATATTTGAGAAATTCTATTGTTATTTAAA